GCAGCCTCTAACACGGGGATCAAAAACTACTGGTATCGGGAAGGCTAATGAAATGAGCCAAGTAGGCTGGATATAAGAAACAACTGGTTTCACAATAAACGTGTTCACTGATTTTCACAGCAGAATCATTCACAGTAGCCAGAATGGAAACACCCTAATGTCCAACAACTGATGAATGAATGAATAAACAAAAGTGGTATATCCATACAACAGACTATTACTTAGCCATAAAAATGAATGAAGTACTGATCCATACTATGACAGGAATGAACCTTAGAAACATTATGCTAAGTGAAAGAAGCAGACACAAAATGCCACATATTGCATGATTCCATTTACATGAAAAGTCCAGAATAGGCAAATCCCTAGAGACAGAAAGCATAGCAGTGGTCTCATGGATGGGTATAAGAGGGATTGGGAATAACAGCTAATGAATGCAAAGTTTTTTTTTGTGGAGGGAGTGATAAAAATGGTCTGGAATTAGATATTAGTGATCGCTGCACAACCTTATGAATATGGTTAAAAACCACTAAATTTCACACATTAGAAAGGCAAATTTTACAGTATGTGAATTACATCTCAATAAAAAATAGTAGAAGTAGCAGAGACTACAGTAATCTGGAGGTCACTTGTCTCATTTAAATAATAGCCCTATTCAACCTCAGCTAATTGCAGTACGAATAGTCCCGATGCTAAACTATTTTCCAGTATTTAAAGAAAAGCTGAAAGTCCAGAGTCTTGTATAAAATCTCTTTATTTTTAAAAGTTAAAAAGTAATTCAGAAAATTTAAATTCTTTGCAGTCCAGTGATGGTGGGCTGGCCCACAAGGGCCACTAGCCACCGTTTTATGACCTCTGCTATCCCTGGGCCATTCAGCTTCCATCCCCTATCCAGCTAAACAAAACCCTAGAGTTACTGGAAAAGCAACTATGTACCACTCTTCCAACAGGCTCTTAGGCTCTCTGATCAGTGAGGAGCAGCGGCATATACCCTTCCTGGTTACAACACCAGCACAGCATATTCTCTCCCAGAGGCCCAGCACCAGACCCCACTCGTCTGGGCCTCTGACTTCATATTTAATAAACATTTTTTTTCAGCACCAAGTAGGTGCCAGGAACTCTTCTAGATGCTATAGGAAAAACAAATGAGTAAGTCAAGGTCCCTGGTCTCAAGGAGTTCAGTCAAGGGAGGGAGACAGACTTGTAAACAAATCAAGGTAATACAAGGCAGAATTAAACCAGAGCCTGATAGCAGCATAAACAGCGTACTATGGAAACACAGACAGAGCAGCTATTAATTCTACCTAGAAATATCAGGGAAGGCACTGTAGAAGAGGTGACATTTGGCTGAGGCATGAAGGGTGAGTTAAGTTCACCAGGTGGAAAAAAAAGAGAGAAAGAAATGGGGGAGAGAAAGATGGAGGGAGGAGAGGAAAAGAAAATGTGAAGGAGAGGAAGAGAGGGAAGGAGGGAGGAAGCAAAGGAGAAAGGAGGAAGGGACGAAAGGAAGGGGTTAAACAGAATAAAATACAGAGCATGGTAAAAGAAATGAGGCCGAAGACAGAAATGAGTAGATTTCACCCTCTCTTGGGTCCACAACAAATTTTACCCATTTTTCTCATAGCCTTTATCACACGGGGCTAGACAAACTTGCTCACATGTAGCTCTCATATACTAAAATGTGAATTCCATGAAAGGTAGAATCATGTTTTATTCATCTTGATGTCAGTAATATCCTACCACAATGCCTGATATGGAGTAGGTGCTCAATAAAAGTTGGAAGAATGTGTGAATTCATAAACCAACGAAAAAAAGTTAAAAAAAAAAGAGAGATTAGGGCATGCATGGGAAATGAAAAAGGGATCCATCCTGGCTGGAGATAAGAGATGAAAAGAAGCTTTGGACGAAGCAGCATCTAGAAATGTTGTTTAGTGGTCGGATGAGGCAATATATAAAACCATAGGCATTTGACTTGGTTTAGGGGGCCTTTCTATCGTACCCCAGTTTTTGTGAATGGGGCAGCTTCTTTACTTTCTTACTAATGAAGGATTAAATGACTATGTCAAGACAGGAAAACACACAGTGGATGCTCAGTAATGGTGTTTTTAAAAAATTGAATGAAAGGGTAAATTACTCCCTCCCTGAATGGTGTCAGTTTTTACATAACATACTGAGAACCAGTATGTTCCCAGCTCACACTCTGTTTGTGGTCCATCCTCACCCCCAGATATTTTTCTCATGCTTACACCCACCCTATATTTGTACTGGGGTTTGGGTCTTCACAAGCACATTTTCTTATTAAGTTTCAACCCTAATTATGATAGGCTTATTTTTCCAATGTATGGTCATTCAAAGCTTTATCATTATTTTTCAAAAAAATCAAAACCATACCAAACTCAGGACCCACAAATTTGATGCACATTTTTAATTTATCTGTTTGGAATGTCAGTAAATAAGCTGAAGAGCCTGCCCCCAGGACTAGTCCTCACTGGGCCATCACTCAGTATGTGTACTATCCCCACACCATTTCCTGTGTTCACAAACCTGCAATCCAGACATTCAGCTTATTAAAATGATACGGTGTACATTCTACTTTTTCAGATTATCTAGTGAAACAGATTACACTGGAGACTTCTCCCTGGTCTGTGGATCCTGTTCTTTTACTATTATAAACTGAACTTGTCTGTATGATTCGGCCTTCACAGAATGATGCTGACTCCTATTTAGTGTCTCAGGATTTCCTGAGTGATTGCAAACCGTTCAATGATTCCTTCTCATTTTTCCCAAAGATCAATAAGTTGGCAGTTTCTAATTACTAGGCTCATCCTGTGCTCCTCCGCTTCCTACTTCAAAGATAGGCATATTTGCCCTTTTCAAATCTTCAGGGACTCTCTAGTTCTCCATCACTTCTCAGAAATAATGACCTGTGGGTTTGTGGACACATCTGCTTGTACAGCAACTACCCCTGGGGTGCACATCATCAAATTCTGCTCATCCGAATACTTCCGTTTTTCCTCTTAGTAATCATTTCTCTCTTTAATTACCTGTTCACTTCTCAAAGTTTCACCTTGACTAAAGCTTCTCTAGTCAACTACTTACCTGTAGTTGCCTCTTACCTGTACTTACCTCTGAGGAGGCAGGATAAAAGACATTAAAAAGTTATGCTGCATCAATCTCCTGATATTAATAAGAATTCCTTACTTTTGATCATGAAATCAAAATTTTCTAGTCTATTTTTTTCACCAAATATCTTAAAAGTTACTTAACCTTTGCTTTTCTGTACATACCAGTTAGTGACCATTTATGACCCCAATTGTGGCCATCCTTATTTTGTCCCTTTTCTGCTATTCTCATATGTTCTGTTTCAGGGAACTGCCCTGATTTCCACATGGTGTGTATCTATTACATACACAATTAGCACTGGGTACACCAAGGACACAAAACAATAAAAAACACAGCAACACCATTAACTTCATAGTCTAGTTCCAAAAAAAGAGCATAAAAAAAGAAAAACGTAAGTGCTCCTACCTCTGTGTGCCTACACTGTCTCTATCATAAAACTGATTGCAGTGTGTTGTGATCATTATTTACTGATCTTCTTGACCTCTTTAGAAGTAGTGATCCTATAAGGAAACCTGAAGCCCAGAAGCCTCCCGTAGCACTTGGGATTCAATATGCTTGGTAGAGGATGGACAAAGGAGACAATACCCAATAGCATATATCAGACAGACGCTGCAGATCATTTGTTCTACAGAGGCCGGATTATCTTTCGGGGTAGAGTGGCCAAGGGAGGCTTCAGTACCTCTCTGTTCCATACACAACTCTATACAAGTATAATATTTGTTTTCTTTTTCTCCTTCCCTACATTTAGTGGTAGAGTTGATTCCCTCTTTTTCTATCCCCTTTGTAAATCAGGAATCCTTCCCTATAATCAGTTCCTTGACCCATCACTCTTAACTGTGTTCTACGCCCCACACTGCCCAAATGTTTAAAAAGTCATACGTACTGAAATGGCAAGGGGGGGGGTACTGTATTTACAATTATTCATTACCTGAGTTACTGCAGTTATATAGGGAAACTAAAGTCACAACCTAAATAGCTCACTAGAGAACTGACCACATATAAAACAAGATTCTACTCACACGTTCCTCTGTGCTTAACTAGACTGGCACTTGCTGTTACATCAACTTCATTCAGCTCTGCTGCTTGTGAAATATTATGATGTGACAATACAACGCAAATCACAAGGCAAATTTTAAAATCTTGCAAAAGATACAGAATTTTGTGAAGCTTGTGATAATGATGTAGAGACCTAATCAAATCACATGCAAAACTAGTTATAATTAAGTGGTAGACCAGTTCACAAGTAAAGTAAAATAAACAAGAATTTTATAAAAGTCTTGAATATCAAGATTTTTTTAAATTCCAGGAAAAAAATATATGAAACTCACAAACTCTTACAAAAAGTAGCCTCTTCAATTGTGAAAGTCAAATGTGAGAGACAGCATTTCAGCTATCAAACAATTCAGTCCAAAAACAATTATGCCAAAAGAAAAATCAATCTTGATTCTCTCTTCATTTTCAGGATTAGTGAATAAGTATAACTGCTAATATAAATATATATTAATAAGATATATAAATCTACTGTTATTATATTTTGTCTCCCTTTTCAAGATAAAGCATCAATTAACTCTTTTTTCTACTTACTGTAAAATTTTGATCCTATTTTAAGTGGTGTCATTTAAAACAGACCTTTCCTGATACCAATTACCCTGAAGTAATACGGCTTCAAGTACTGCTTTGTCAGCTTTCACACTTGTAAATCTGTTTTTCCCCAGCTACATAATAAGCCCTCCAAGGACAGAGATTTTAAATTCTACTTTTCTTTAAATTCTATTTTTCTACCACCACCATTCCATTCCCAATCACTGCACACACACCTACCCAGCTCTCAGAAATCTAGAAAAATAGGCAGGCAGAATACATTAATGATGGATTACCTGTCTTGGAAAACCATTCTGCTGAAGGTAAGACTGGCTGTCCTCAGTCTTCATGGTTGTATCCAAAGTGTCTCACCCAATTACTTCTACAGCCTCCTTTAATTCACGACATGTCACACCTAAGCAAGAAAAAGGTTTTGAGACTGCATTTCAAGGAGATTTTTGGTTTGATTTGGTTTGGTTTTTGCCCTACAGGATATTCTCTCCTATCACAAAAGGAGTCATCAACGTCTCCCTCCTGGATTATATCTGGGCTATCTAAAGCTGAGCAGCTCTGTGGATCAGATCAAAGTTCTTGTTACCCAAAAGTTACCCAACATTCTCTGCCATGTGAAGGTCCGTGAAAACAGTAACATTTCCAAGTAAGTTGTGAGGAGTTTGGATTTTCCTTGTGATGAAACAATGGCTTGAGTGGTGGGTTTGATGTGTCAGTAGGAAAATGAAGTCTTACTTCCCAGTACAGTTTCTGTGGCAAGACGTGTTCAGGAGCCAGCTCCCTGGGGCAGAGGCAGAGCTCTGTTTAACTTTAGGATAAGGAGGGTTTGTGGTGTTGCTGAAAGAAGTGAGCCCATTTAAAGGGGGCACTATCCTTTCACTTCCCTTTCTATATTATTCATGGTTCAGCCACTGATGGCCAACTGGTTAATGAATAGGTGCCCTTTCCTTTCAACACTGTTATTTCCAATATCTTTTCTTTACAACCTAGTAAGTCATTAAAAAAAAACCATCACTATGGAAATGGGTTCTAGTAGAGCACTGATTTCCCCTTAATCTTAAAGGACCTCCACCTACCCCTAACCCTCTGGCCTGGGGACTTCTTACATTTTCCATACTCTTTATGATTCTCTAGAGCAGAAGAGAAGTAACAAGGCCTGGGCTTCTGGAAACTGTTCTATGGTTCGGCACTACGGTGAATTACTCTGTTAGCTTTGGGAAAGTTGCGCAATCTTGGTAATCTGGCTCAGCTCTACAACTAGCCCTCTACCAGGCCTCTGAGAGTCTAAATTGTGGTTAATATGAAGATTTTTTTTTAGGGAAAGGAAAGAATAGATAAGAAAAAGAATGCCCCAGAGTTTTTCGAGCTTCAGAGTACAAATTAGACCCCCAAATTCTAGTTAGACCTATGGATTTCTTTAACCTAAGGAGACTCTTATTTAGTCATTGAATATTTTGTCAAGTTTAGTAACTACAGTGTCTCACAATGATTATTAAATACTAGTTAATCACAATGAAGGAGGTGATGATGATAATGGTCTCTTCAAAGAACTCACTAGCTGCCATATTCTCTTCTTCCACTTATCAACTACACCTAGACTGTAAGTCTGCCATCTGGTGGTCACTTCCACAATCAACATGAGTGATCAGTCCTTCCCAAGAGGTTACAAGGCTCCTTGTGGTTTGACTCAGCAATGGTTACTTTCATCCATTTTCTAGATTTGTGTCTTAAAGGTCTAGACCCTATCTTTTAGTGATTATACCATCTAATCTTCCCTTGTCAAGGACCCACCTTTCACTTTTACAAGAGGTTCCAGTGTCCTTCACTCTACTGGTTCTATATCCCTCATCCTTAAAGATTAAACTGATTAGAGTGGTAGATATTTCATGGTATTCCTACTGGTAACTTATTTTCTAAATTGAAATGTGAAATTTTAGCAATGCTCTTCTTCAGGTTTGGTGTGTACTTGTGCTAATGAGAACCCCCTCATTTATTCAATATCAGTGACGGGAGAAAAGTAGTTAGTTCCCAAGCAGGTTCTCAAAGATTTCAATTATGTATGAAGCTAACATATGCCCAGACTGAAATAGGATTTAATTTTGATTTTTCTTTTATTGGGACAAAGGGTAAATTTTCCATAGTCTTTTCCAGTGTGGGAATTGAAATGAAACATATCTTGAAAAGAGAAACTTCTCTAAGAGGGTAGTTGGTTAAAAGAAAGTGTTTCTGATGGAAAGCTTGTGCCACAATCAGTTTCATTTTCTGACCCCAGATCGGAGCCCAGGTGGGATGACCCTCTGGGGAGAGCCCTCAGAGGGTTTCACGGGAGTGGGGACATATGTTAGCACCTCCTCTCTTTCCATCCCCAGAGAGGAGGGCTTTCCTTTCCTCTCTACTGCTGTTCCCTGAAGAGTGAGGAGGAGAAACAGAGCCAACTGAATATGTTTAGAGACTCCTACTAAAATACCTGTGGAAACAATGTTACCCAAGAGGCATTTATTTACCTTGATCTTTCCAAGCTCCTTTTGAAGAGCAACCTCTGAGGGATAAACCAGATGTGCTTTCCTCCCACCACCCTTCTTTCCCTTCCCTTCTGCATGACATTTGAAAAAGTTCATTAGGAAGGATTCTGGAGCATGCAGAATAAAGGCACAGATGACCAGTTTGAAAGGAGGGTGGATGCAATGATATGTGTCCCCAGGTTCTTCTTCTTCTTTTTTTTTTTTGTAATTGCCTAGTGTTGCTGTTTGTGATTCTCCTCAAGCTTTTGGAAGGGAAAGGAACCAAAATAGACCCTGCTATTACAACAGGCCAGGGTTGAAATGTGCCATGTGGTTTGTTGCCTGAGTTAGACAAGAGTCCTGTGGTTAATTAATTGCTGAATTAATCAGCAGATGTCCATGTGGCAAAATGTAGGGTCTTAGACTTAAAGAGAATCTCCAGGGAAAGAAAAATGAAGACAGGAAATAATTATAAAGTATCTAAAAGCTGCAAGCTCAAAAAAATCAAGAAAACTAATACAAAGTAGGCCTGCTGTCCTGAAGTATAGGTGATTTGATAGGTGAACTAAGTTTAAATTAGAAAAAGCTCATTTTAACCTCCATTTGGGTGGCTAAAAGTTCCACTATCATAAATTGCATCTAGTTTTAACCACCAAAAATTGGTTATCCAGGTTCTGGACATATACAATAAAAATGTTCTGAGCTGTGTTCTGAACTTTTGTTATATTTCTAATTTTAACTTGACTCAACATACAGAGAGGAGTGGGAATGGGTCCAAAAGCTTTCTGGCTCTGAATCTACGGAAAGTGTGGATCATACTTCTGACTGCCCCATGCAATTGTTCTTCTACGAGCTCCAGATGGCAGTGAAAGCTCTCCTTAAGCAGATCAATATACCTCTGCACCAGGTACAAGTCTTTACCATTTTTATCTTCTTTTTATGGCTAATGGAAACGGCATTGTAACATAAAACACAAGAAGAGATACATGTATATATTTCATTTTCATATACTTAATTTCCACTTTGCACATACAAGCATATTTTGAATTTGATGCCTACAGTAGATACAAACAGTACTTCTGCCCCTTTTCTCTAGCTCTTTCATGCTGACTTCTTCCAAGGTTCCTAGACCCTACTTTACTGTGGTCTGGTCAAGGAAAAATCACTGGCTAGTCCAATCATTGGAAAGATACCAAGTCTCAGCTTTAGGATAGCATGAAGCAAGGAAAATAAATGAATCAACAAATAAATGTATAGTTAGATATACAAATGATGTATCTAAGGACAAAAGACTAGTGGTACTATAAGTTATACCAATGCTCAAAATTATGCTGTGCTATTTTTCCACAGAGAATTTACTGTCAAAATTAATGTCTTATCTAAATCAAAAAGTACAACTCTAACCTCCACTAATAAGCAGTTTCAAGAAAAACTGTTGGCAAGGGAGAGAATAGTGAAAGTTGAATTAGCTCTGTCCAGTAAGTTAACATGATATAACAATTAGTTTGAATTTATTCTTTTTTTTTTTTGCCTACCTTTACCTTCTATGCCCATCTAGCACACACACAAGAACACAGACGCATGTACACCATCTCTATACACACACACAAAATTAATCAAGGTTAACCTATACACAGGAAGACTGTTACAGGAGTAACTGTCTCTTTTTAAACAAGAGTCAACCATGAATTGGCCCCTGACCCATGGAGGCAGGGGGATAGAGTAGAGATTCCAAGAGTGCCCTTCCATTGGGTTACTGCTCCGATTCTAAGTTAATACTGCAAGGCTAATCCAAACAGCCAACACCGACAAAGATTTAAGTTGCACAAAATGCCATAAAGACACCATGGGAGCAACTGAATTATTTCAGGGTTGGCTGTGTACTCAGGAGGAGAAAAGAACTACCAGATCTACTTGTGACAGTAGGTACTATTAAAGGGTTTCTTGCGCTTAGCAGGTTTGAAGCAGCTCATATTTCATTGGTGACTCTTGGGCTACATATACATGTTGGGAGAAGGCTGCCTAACTGCCTAAGAGTGCATACAACATTTTTTTTTCAATTCTTGTAAAATTTTCTCAGTCCTTGGCCAGAAACTACATTTTTCCCCCTTAACCAACTTAAATTGAAACTAGTGGATTTTTAATTCAATCCATTTTTGTTGCTTCATGTAATTATATTCATCATTTTGAAAAGCCCACAGAATGCAATCATTTTCTGCTTTTATAAGAAGCATAAATGTTGTTTTCAGAGTTTATGTGGAACATTACTGCCTTAAATCTTGATTTTATATAGCATTATTAAATGGGCTGAACCCTAATATTTATGTTGTATAAAAATTCCAAGCTTGAAGTCGTGTAATTTTGTTAGATGTTTTATGCCAGTTTGGTGTTGTTTATGTAAGTGCCATGTTGTAACTCTCCTATTTTTCCTCCGCGCGTGTCCCTCTGCAGGCAAGGAACTTCCGCCTCTACACACAGGAGGTGTTGGAAATGGGTCACAATGTGTCCTTTCTTCTCCTGCTCCCTGCCTCAGACGACGTCTGTACAGCCCCAGGACAGAATAATCCTTACACCCCACACTCAGGGTTTCTTAACCTCCCTCTTCAGATGTTTGAACTTGGTATAGTAGCTTGTTTCACCTAGAAATATTAACCCAGCCTCCTTATAATAAAATCACAAAGTTATATCTGTTCCCCCTTGTCCCAGTGGAGGGTCAATAAATCACATGATGGCTTTGGCAACAACCCTTCCTAGAACTGTGTACAAGTCTGAGAGAAAGCAAAGCTCCAAGACTATGTGCCTGAGCAATAATTATTGAAACCTAGCTAAGGCCCAATGGAGAGGAAGGAATTCTAAACAGAAAGTTCAGTTATCGGGCTGCACTTCTTGCCTCCCCTTTGCTTTCTTAAAATATAAATATAAGAACTGATGTTTTCATGAAAAGCATCTCTCTTCCTCTTTCTCTCTTCCTCTCTCTCTTTCTCCCCCCCTCCCCGCCCCCACCCCAACTGGGAAAAAAACACTGAAATCC